GCTGAAAGACGTACCTCATCGGCGGCAGCTGCAGGCACATGGAGCTGGTGTCGTCGGAGCCAGGCGGCTTTGTACTTGTCCAGTTTCTGGCCCTTGTATTTGACGGAGGCCCAGCCACAGCCTGACTTCTTGGCTGGGTTTACCAGCTTCTTGCAGTGGGTGGCCCAGGCGCTGGGGGAGTTGAACACCTGCCCCGTCTCCTGCCACACGATCCTCCCGTCTGGCTGCAGGTCCCCCACGAACTTCTTCCCCTGCAGCGAGAGTGGGCTGGCTGGGCCCAAGACCTGGTACCTGCCAGGGTCCCTCCTCCGGGAAGTCCTCCCTGATCTCATGCTAATCCCAGGGCTTGGCACCCACTTCCCACTACAGCACCCCTTCCAGGAAGCCTTCCGTCTTAAGTGCCTCCCAGTACCTGTATGTCCACTGTCACAGTCCTGATCAGCTTGGATATAAACTGCCCAGTTATGTGTCTGTCCCTCCCTCCCCTCAATGGACTGTGAATCCCCAAAGGGCAGGCACAGGGTCTGTCTTGATCACTGCTGTGACCCCAACACCCAACACACAGCCTGGCACACAGCAGGTGCTCAGTTCACAAACTGCACCATCCACGAACCAAACAACAACAATAACAGTAATAACAGCAAACAGCGCTTACTATGTAGCAGGCACCTTGCTGAGCGCTTTATTCATGTAATCCTCATACCACCCCATGGGAGAAACAAATCCCATTCTACAGATGAGAAAACTAGGATGCTGAGAAGTTGAGCGAGGTCACACAGCCAAGAAAGCAGTGGTGTCCTCTCTGAGCCTCAGTTTCTCCTTGGTGGAATGTGGTGTTTGGTGAACGAAGTCTTCCCGCCCAGAAGGGTTCGTGCTTGGTCTGGATGCTCCGTGCCTCAGTCTCCCCTCCCCGCTCCCAGGCTCGGCCTGCTGCAAGGGCGCTCTGGACCTCCTTGTCCCAGCTGGGATGGGATGGGGGGTGGGGGGCGCTCACCAAGTAGTAGATAGACAGCACGCCGGCGCCGGGCTCCAGCTGCGCGTCTTTGAGGAGCACCCGCAGCGTGACCGCGCGCCTG